GCAGTGATATAATAGGGATCAAACTGAACCAATACAAACCCAATTTGTACCCTCACTTACAGACTCAATGACCATGCTCAGGGGGAATTACACCTACTGGGCTGCCAAACATTGGGATATACTACCAATGAATAGATATCGTCGACAACAAACCAAAGATTGTCTTTCTTGGCTTATTCCATCTTTCCTTCACTTCAATTCATGCATTTAGTAGACATGTCTGAAAAGGTGCAAGAAGAAAAAAAGCAAAGCATAGATTAGCAAATCAGTTATGTGACTAACTAGCTATACTGTAGACCAGATTGTCTCTGACAACATATTGCACATGCTGCATGTTATAAATTATTTACACCTAGAATATACAAAACAAGTCATTGTAGACTTCCAGGCTCTGAAGTTGCATCTGCATTTAGATGACTTTCTGCTGAAATGCCAGGAGATAGCAATGCATAAATTTGTAATTCATCATGTTATTAACTTACTAATAAATATTTATTCCCCATTACTAACAGAGTAATCGAAAAGTCAGTGTCACATTCAAAAGTTATAGACTATGATTTGAACTTGGCATTCATGTATTTAGTTGACCTTCCACTGAAATGACACATAAGGGAAAACAAATCATAAATTAATAATGCTGCTTTAAATAACTCACTTAAACTAACTTCATTACAAACAGAGCAAGCAAAAACAGCAAAGTTGCACTAATTTAACTTCAACCATTTATGGTGGCTTACTATCCCTTTCATTGTGAGCATGTATTGTTTCTTGGATGCCAGTTTTAGAAAAATTCTATAAGCATTGGCCTGAACATGCAGTCATTCTGCATGGAAAAGTATGTGCAGACTTGAGGTACTCCTGTGAAGTTAGTCTGGTACACTGACCAACTCCATTGATTCTAATATAAAACCCAGATCCAAATAACAAATGGACAAGCCATATATAAATTTGACCTAAACAAAATAATTTCTGCAACTTTTGCCATTATTCAGTAAGTCCGTATTTTTGGGGTTATTTTCATAAAACTTAAGCTCAAATTGTAAGAGTTGACAGGTCTGGTATTTATCTGTCACTAAATTATAAATGTAGCATACTGATGTGTGTAAATTCACTCTCCTGGTTGTAAGTCTTATCTGGCATTCACATCATGGTGTATACTCAGTTCATAATGACATTAATGTAGAAATCTATACAGCTTTTCCTTGCAGTATTAAGGTGTTTACAAACATACACATGGTAGCACATGGCATTAAAGATACCATTTCTATAATAAGACAAACAAATCAAATTTTCATGTTTCAATTGCATTTTCTATATTTTAAACATTCTGTGTTGCTCTCTAATTTGAGATATGATGCAGCTGTGGAAAGAATGTTTGTAACAAACACACATCTAAAAAAGTCCAGTTACCTAAACAAATAACAAATAAAAATAGACATACCATGCTGACTTGGTGGTGGAAATAAGCCAGATGGTGTTGAAGGATTTTTATGGAATGAGACGTATGCTGAATCATCTGATAGACTGGCATCTGACTCACTTTTTTCCAGCCCTGAAAATACTGTACAAAAATGAAAAAATTACTGAATCAGTTAAAACACATATACATGTGGCAAAGGACTTGCCTTTCTGCCTCCAGTCTCCCATCATCAGACCTATCTTGCAACATATATCTAACATAATTTCATTTATTACTTTGTCAAAGAATTTGAAATCATACTGACTGATTTGGTTAAAAATTATATTTTGGATGCACCTCTTTCACTAGTGAATTAATACCATTGTGGGGTAAAACTGAATAGTATTACTGTATGAATAAACTTAATCCACTTTGAAATAATGAAAACAGACTGCATCAAAAGGTAACTCATTTAAGGTAGACAACAATTACCTCAAAAGGTAACTCATTTAAGGTAATCAACTACCTCAAAAGGTAACTCATTTAAGGCAGACAATAACTACCTCAAAAGGTAATTCATTTAAGGTAGACAATAACTACCTCAAATGGTAACTCATTTAAGGTACACAATAACTACCTCAAAAGGTAACTCATTTAAGGTAGACAACAACTACCTCAAAAGGTAACTCATTTAAGGCAGACCAGACAACTACCTCAAAAGGTAACTCATTTAAGGTAGACAACAATTACCTCAAAAGGTAACTCATTTAAGGCAGACAACAATTACCTAAAAAGGTAACTCATTTAAGGTAGACAACAATTACCTCAAAAGGTAACTCATTTAAGGCAGACAATAACTAACTCAAAAGGTAACTCATTTAAGGTAGACAATAACTACCTCAAAAGGTAACTCATTTAGGTAGACAATAACTACCTCAAAAGGTAGCTCATTTAAGGCAGACCAGACAACTACCTCACAAGGTAACTCATTTATGGCAGACAACAATTACCTCAAAAGGTAACTCATTTAAGGCAGAAAACAATTACCTCAAAAGGTAACTCATTTAAGGTAGACAACAACTACCTCACAAGGGAACTCATTTATGGCAGACAACAATGACCTCAAAAGGTAACTCATTTAAGGTAGACAACAACTACCTCACAAGGTAACTCATTTATGGCAGACAACAATTACCTCAAAAGGTAACTCATTTAAGGCAGACAACAATTACCTCAAAAGGTAACTCATTTAAGGTAGACAACAATCACCTCTTTAACAATCTACAAGGATCAGAGTATAATATGATTTTGTTGCACCAGGGAAATGCTGATCCAATTCTGGTATAAAGGAAAAATAAATGCTGACAAAGATGTTCGATAAGATTACATGAACAACACAGAAAAATAATAATTAAAACAATGCAAAGTTAAGATCAAGAATGCAAGCTTCTTTGTGACTTTATCATGTGTGGTTCAGATAATTTTTCAATGGCAAGTTAAAACTTTTCATATTTTACAAATAATAAAATTAAGTAAAAACACTCATCATGCATTTTGTATCTAAGCATGAAAACAAACTATTGAAGGAGTTAGAAATATTTTCCGATGGACATATGATCTTCAGAGTTTTTACAATGCTTACTTTAGTTGTTAAGTCATGTTTGACAGCAGCTAACTAGCTAATACACCAACATGAATGTTTACCATTTTCTCCAAAACTGTATGCAAAATGTATGACCACAAAAAATCTAAAAGCAAGCATTCTGTCAGAACAAAACTGTCAGAGGTCAACACAGTTAGACTATTCCTAATGATGTATTATGAAAAGCCACAACAAAAAAAAATGATACTAATATTAATAATATTAATATTATTATTCCAGGTGCTAATATGAATGTAGTTTAATAAAGTCACATTGGTATAGCATTAAAAAGAAAATTGTGCTAAAAAATGGCATTAAATCCATAAAAATATCACCACTGTCAATGGCTGCTCAGTCATTTCCTTCATGAGGAATACAATGTTTAGATAAAGTAAAGTGAATTGATGTGCAAACATTTATCTCAAGTATTGTCTCCCCAAACACCAGCCATATTGACAGGGTAACTCTGATGTGTAACAATATGTCAAATTAAAAAATAAGGCAAGATTTTTTAGTAGGGCAAAAGGTTTAGCAATTTATTTGCTGGATCCTGTGAAAAGTCTGTTACTGCAACAGAATGGAGGTCACCTTTTGTGCCAATGTGATAGGTAAGGTTTGATATCTTCATCTATCTGCTATCTCCACATAAAAAAGTCCATCTTTGAGAAGAGATACAAGTTACATACCTTTCGTTTTGGATCAGGGGTCCTTCAATATTTAAAATTTGAAAATACAGTTGAAGTTTTGGTTAAAATGTCACAAAGAATATATGGCTTTTTTTGATTTCCTATTCATCACAGTCTTCTTAGATAAGCTGAGTGTGTTTTGTTCTTGGCAAGTTGAGAAACTGAATAATCTAAATATGGTTTTTGAAGTGGGAAACTAAGAGCAGTGTATTTTCAAATCGGTGAAGATTTGATTTAAAGGATGGTTGTTGTTGTTGTTTTTGGGCTTAACGCCATTTTTCAGCACACGATAGGCTATTCATGGCGGCCAGTATTAATGGTGGAGGAAGAAACCGGGAAATCACCGGAAAGAACCACCGACCCACGAGAAGCTACTGGCAAGCTTTCTCACATATCCACATTCGCCGAATCCTAGACTTGAACCCACGAAGACAGAGGTGAGATGGCAGTGATCCGTAACGGACAGCGCTTTAGACCACTCGGCCACTCGGGGCCCCTGATTTAAAGGATGGACTAAAGCGATCAGGAGTCAGCATTCTTGTGTGTAGCATTAATTTGGGACAGAACAACATCCATAATTAATGTGGTTTTTTTTGTATAGTGCATAAAAGACAATTCTGATAACATAATAGTGAAAATAATAATAATAATAATAATAATAATAATAATAATAATAATAATAATAATAATAATAATAATAATAATCATAATAATAATGATAAAATTAATGAAATATATTAAATCAATGAAATTTGTTCCAAACTAATTCTAAAAGGTGAATCATATGAGCAGAGGTTACCCATGTACAAAGGCCAGTTTTGCCACATTCCCAATAGTTGCTGCTTGATGACTTTCTCTAAAACAAATTTAAACATAATCTAATGATCTCAGTTTCTTTAGAGTGAAAAACCCTGTATATGGAATTCTGACAAATTGCAATGCATTATCAAGTGAGAAAAAGCAATAGTTGGCTTTTTTTTATTCATGCAGTACAAGTTAGTAATTATAGGTAATCAATGATATAATGTGTGTGATTTGGATTTTTAATGTAGCTTTAACAATTTTCCATTCATAATACTATGATGTTTATAGTTTATAGTGATGGCAGTTTATAGTGATATCCAGCACTTGGGCATCATGCCACAGACATGCAGCATCATGTCCCACACAGTTACATTATCCTGACACCCGGCTGATCAGTCCTAACACCAAACTCTTAACAGTGAGTGCCAAGCGAGGCAGCTGCAAGTACCACTTTTATAAGTCTTTAGTATGACTCAGCTGGGGTTCAAACCCACGACCTCCCACATCAAAGGCAGATTCTCTAACCACTTAGACCACCGGATCAGTCTAACCAATGAAACACAAAGAACAGAGATAGCAATGTTCCTCTTTAATAGATCATGAGCTTTGTTCTGTACACAAAATTTATATATTGTGATAAAATTAAACAGATGACCTCTGCTGAAGGGACTTACAAATGGCAAACCAGCATCATCTGAGTATTAATAAATTACCTGGGTTTCAAAAACTTCAGGATAAAAATGTCACATTTTGTTGGCAGGCTGAATGTTTCTTTCTGACAAATTAGACAAAACTTTTCTATGGACAGACCAATGGGCAGCTAATGCAGAATAAGGAATAAAATCTAGATTTAGAAGAGCCATGGTTATCTGACTTTTGTTTAGCTCTGTTGGGTATTATTAAAAGGTATTATAAGCTGAAACCTAATATAATGACTGGATGCTCAAAATGAAATTTAGTTGTTTTTGTTGTGAAGCTTAACGAAATTCTTCAGCACATGATAGGCTATACATGGCAGCCAGTATTAATGGTGGAGGAAGAAACCAGAAAATCCCCAGAAAGAACCACTGACCCTCAACAAGCTACTGGCAAGCTTTCTCACATATCAGCATTTGCCCAAACCCACGAAGACAGAGGTGAGATGGCAGTGATTCGTAACAGAGATCGATTTAAACCACTAGGCCACTCGGGAAACCATGAAATTTAGTATAGGCTTTCTAGCATATCAAGGTAATGTCAGTTTATCTGAAATATTAACAGACATCATAAACAATATTGTTGAATCCTTCTAGAAATTGCTGATATTTTATTATTTAATGGAACACCTTCACAAAACAATATATTAAATCCATGAACCCTAAATGTCAGAATGACCAACAATCACATCCTTTATTGGTTACAATTGTTTCTGAAGTAACTGCAACCATACGAGGAATGAATCCAAAGAGAGACCTGAACGCCCTTAAGTTTTATCTCAACTTTTCCATAGGTTTTGAAAATTCATTTATTAAATATTTTCATTATTTTCATACTAAAGCAACTTTAGTAGTTTGAAATCCTGGAGAAAATCTTCATTTTTAAATTAAAATGTGAAACATTTTAAAACAATTAGTTTCCCTGATTTGTAACATTGGATTAAACAAGACTGGTACGATCTGTTCTAAAATTTTGCTGTTCTTCCTTTGAAATTTGTCTCTTTCTGTCATATGGTCATAAAAAATATGAGTAAAAAATGAAACTCTAAGCAGACCCATAGTTTATAAGTTTTGGCAGGTAACAATCTTTTTTTTAAATACATAAATTACCTTGCCCTATAAACTACACAATTATTGTTTTGGTACCTTCTCTCCTTGCAACTTTACGGCAATTTCCACTGCTTTCATCCTCACTGTCCGATCTAGTCCTTGACCTGAAAGAAGGGAACCAATATAAATGGAAACTCCATTTCTAATTATGCTCACTACTCTCAATACAAGTTTTAAACCTTCATATTCCTGTTAATATTCCTGTCTGTTTCATTGAATAAAGCTGCTGTTATAAACAACACAATTTTCTCCATACAGGACCAGCAGTTTTGGACAAGGTGGTGGTTACACTTTGAAGTTTCCACTCCAAAAAAGGGAGTGTGCTGTTCTTTTAGCCATTTATACATTTGTAACTGTACTGAATTGGAGAGAACAAAAAAGCAAATCTAGGCCAATTGAAGTTGATGTACATATAGGACTATACTTTTGTTAGAGTTGACTTGTGCCTAGCAGAAAAATGTAACCGACTAATATTATGCATGAAAATCAATCCTTTTTATTATTGTCAGAGGTTCCTTTACACAGGTATATGTCGGGATTTTACCCATAAATTTTGCTTCTGTACCAGAAAAAGAGGACTGTCTGTATTCATGTACTGACAAACTGTAAAATGTATTTCAAGTCTTTAAAGTTAACTGTCTCAAAATCAAATTCTGTATGAATCCAACTTATTCCAGTCATACAGTTAGAAGACAACTTATTATCATACAGTTGTAGTCCCATATCTCTCCCGACTTTGATCAGTGATAATTGGCAAGAACACAACACCAGAAGGAGAGTTAGCTCTTTGATGGATTGCAAGACTTTGAAATTCAAGATAACAACAACATAAATGGAATATGTTTCAAATTTGAATCAGTCACCTTCTGCTTCATTCTGTTTTTGGTGAAGAATATGTAATCATGGTACACCGATTGACAAATATATAAAAAAAATACTGGGTGCTATGGACTTTTTTTTACAATACCATTGGTGCTTTAATTTACTCTTGTTCAAAACAAATTAATAACCAAAGGACAGGTGAGTTAAGTGGGGGGACAGCTTAGTTAGGAGTTTTGCTGGTTTTTATTTATAGATTATTGTGAGTCACATGATCTATTCATGAGTCACATGATCTATTCATGAGTCACATGATCTATTCATGAGTCACATGATCTATTCATGCAGAAGTTGAGAGAATACATGTGGGAAAGCTTCTTGCAAACTCAGAATTATAATTCGTACTCTATGGAGTTTCGAACCCAGGTCTGCGAGGTAATGGCACCTACTGTCTGTTTGCACACTCCAGCCAATTTCCCATCACGGCTAAGCATGCAGCACCAAAAATAATGGTACTGAATCAGTGTTATATGAACTCATGTTCTAATTCTCTAAACTGTATGATAGTATTATTTGTATTAAATTATTAAATTCTGCCTACTATTAGCACACATTCTTCTATAGAATCCAGGGATAGCACTTTCTGTTTTGTTTGGTATATATTTATAATTCTTTGTAACAAAAATCCAATCTACCTTGATTTCTTTAATAGGAATCTGGATCGAATTTGCACATATGAGAATTAATTGCTAGATTGTCTAGCGAGTGTGTCTCCTACACACGAGTTCATATAACACCGATTCAGTGCCATCATTTTTGGTGATGAGTGCTTAGTCGTGACGGGATCTGGGCTGGTGTGTGCAGGCAGGCAATGGGTGCCATTTACTCATGGATCTGGGTTCGAAACTGTAGAGTATGAATTATAATTCTCTAACCTGTATGATAGTATTATTTATATTAAATTATATATATATATATATATATATATATATATATATATATATATATATATATATATATATATATATATATATATATATACTATAATTATAAAATTGGCTTTTTGTAAGAGCACAGGCCACAAAGTCTGGCACTAGTGTCCTTAAAATATAAATGTATAAATTCTTGACCATTAAATATATTGTTTGTTAAGTTTAGAGACATTCTGTACTGCAGCCTTGAAGATATAACATTTAATGAAGTCTGAGTTCATCACTGTTCAGATGTGTGTGTGTGTGTGTGTGTGTTTGTGTGCTGACAGATGGATTAATGGATTAGACTGAATTGTACTGCATCTTTGTACATATTTGAAAAGGTATCTGAGCTCACATCCATGAACAACGTATGTATGTATGTAGGCAAAGTTGCATAAATTTCACCTTTTTTTTCCTTTCTTGGCAGACTTTGGGTGTATCTCTGCATTGTTTAAGAATCTGTTATGTTTCTTGTTCATTATCTCCAAGAATCTGAAAAAAAGTGTATTAACGGAACATTTTGTCCCTTTCATTGCTTCTTTACATATACAGACAGCAAAAATCTTAACTGAAATATTGTGTGTTGAAAAGTTATAAAGAAGTGAAATTATCTTTGTTACTAATTTAATGACAAACTAATCCCTGAAATCAGGCAATGAGATTTCACTCAATTCTATGATTAAGATGATTCCTAACAATCTCTGTACCAATAAACCATACTCTGATTGGCCATCATTTTGAAGCAGTTGGGGGTGGGGGTAAATGAAATTTAAAATATAGCAAGTGTTAAATGGTGGCCCACCATGACCAGTTACTTAAAAAAAAAGGTTTAGAATATTTTGTAATGGTTCGTGTGTCTTGCTTAGACCAAATGTAAACACTCAATTCATCATTTACCTAAGTGTTTTTATCATATGTTTAGGATAAAACTAATCATTAGGAGGTAACACCAAGTATAAGTACACCTGTTTACAAAGTTCTGTTCACTAAAATTTAGATCAACTCAAACTTCATACCAACATTGTTCTATCTGAATATACATGTACAGAAGAAGTCTAATTTTATTTTATAAAAAAGAGTGTTCCATCAAAGGTTTTCCAGAGTAAAATTCAGAACAAAACACATAAGCCCATACTTGCACTATTTCTTTACATATGACCCATAATTATTACCAAATCTTGGATCCATCTTCTTCTATGTCCTCCTGCCATCCTTGTTTATGTTAACAGCTCCCAGCAACATATATAAACAGCAAATCCCAACTTTAAGAACTTATGGACTCAATTACCCAGCCATAGAATCAAGCTAAAAAGGTACAACCGCAACTGTTTCAGTTACAGTTAAAGCCATTAACCAGTAAACGCAGCCCATTGCCAAATACTCACACAAAAAATACATGCACATTTAACATAATGATAACAATTGATTTGAAAATACAACTCCCCTACATAATGGAGCAGGAGAGGATCACTTTTTTACTTCTGTTATTAAGATTTACTTGCAGAGTTGATATTTTTCCGGTCAGAAAAAAAAAACCATGTAAATTAAAGAATAATCTGCACTCTTCTTATGTAATAAAAATGCTACGCTGTGTAAATTGTGGGTATTAAGCAAATGACTGACATCGTGCCAAATTTTTTAAAAACAGTACAACCTCCATTCATTTATTAAAAGCCTAATAAAATGTGCTTTTGAATGTCAATCCAATACTATGTGCTATACTGAATAATTCCGTCTGTTTGTGAGTCGTCCAAAGTCGTTATTTTACCTAAAAAACGAACAAGCTTACCCAAGTTGAATGCAGATTCTTCAGAGGATATCAAGGTCAGGATTTACACTTTGGTTGCTATAAACACAGATTGGTGACAAGAGTCAGTCCTCTGAAATGAAGATTTAAAAAAGTAAAACATGAGATTGCACTGAAGAATTAGAAAGGAAGTAGATA